AATTTGGAAATCTCAGTCATTATAGTGACGAATAAAATAGTGCTATACATTAATGCATATTTGACTATGACACCTACCCAACCTGAAAGGATGCTGGCAAAGTGACCAGCCATCCTGTTTTTCATGGAACCAGTCTGGTTTTAGTGCAGAGGGTCTTATGACCCAGGAAACCCCTTGGTCCAGGGCAAAGCAAGACAGTTGTCCCACCCCTGATGCCTACAGTAGACTGGAGACAGGAACTTCAGCCTCAAGCCTCACAAAAAGCTCCCCTTGATTTTTGGTGTCTGCCCAAAAATATGCTCAAAGATCACAGGCAGAGAGCTGTGTCTGGCAGAGAGAGGGCCTGTCATCCAGGGGTAAGCCAGGCTGCAGAGAGCGGAGAAGGTAGGCCCCAGCTGCCCAAGACAGCAGCTACACATACTGCCTCTGTGCTTTGGTCTGGGTTGTTATTCCTCTATTAATTCCTGCTACTTTGTTACAGCTGCCAAGTTCTGAATACCCACCGGTGGCCAGCACGGTGTGAAACCTGTGCACACATTTGATACACCGCTTCGTAGTACAAATTATAAAACTGAGGCTCAGAGATGAAATAATTTACCTCTAGCAAATCATACTAGTGTCAGAGCTGGTGCTTGAACCCAGGTCCAATTTCACACATCCTCTGCCTGAGTCCTCATCACTCCAGGAGGGCCTCTCCTCCTCACATGCTTTCTGGGATGGGTGTACTAGGCAGTTTTTTTTTTTTTTTTTTACAGTCTGGCAGAATACCTAGGATGAAGAAACTCAAGGAAGGAAGAGTTATTTTGGTTCAGCGTGTTAAGGGCTACACTCCCTTGTTGCTGAGGGGCCCAGCCCCTCACCCCCAGATCAGAGAAACTGGAGAGGAGATGTGGACTAGGTGAGCAACTGGAACAGACACACACGGAAACTTAATCTGAGGGTCAAAGCTTAGTTCTCCATCATATTTTCTCTCTGTTGGCTGCTCTTCTGACCCTGTTCTTTCTCTGCTCTGTTTTTACCCAGTGGTTTTCCTTTTTCTTGTTTCCAGTTGTCTCCCTTCTATTTTTCTCCTGATGGTTTTCCTGATGTTTTTCTTCTACATCTTCCCTTCTTATTATTTCTTTCTCCATCTCTTATTTTTCTCTTACTCTTTAATACCTCCCAAGACAAAAGTTTCTACGAAAGGAAAGATTACCTCACAACCATAAGTTATGTATTTTCCAAAAGCAAATTAAATTTCGTCTTTACACAAGACGAAATCACATTAAGATCACCAGTTACATGTTTTCCTTAGAATCCCACAAGTAGTTAAACATTTTTCTTTGTATTAATTTTCCCACCATAACATCTTCACCCCAAAGCAATGACTCTTTTATAATTGATTAACCAAGTTTTAAGCAAGCCAAGTATATTTCAGCCAGCTGTTTGTGGTTTTAGTGCCGCAGATTTCTGTTCTTAATTCTACTCGAGAGAAATTTTAAATGTGTGGTCAGTTCACCATCTATTTTCTTTTACACACAATAGGGTCATTTAATTTCCTCTCACAACTTTGTTTTTTCAAGGTGCATACCGGGGCCTGTAAGTTACATGACCAAGGAACTCAGGTCTAACCTTGGGTGTAGGGACATAATTGTTCTCTTTAGTCATCAGCCTGTTTTTTCACAGGCAGAATTCATGGGTCTGTGATGCTTGAAACTTCCTCGTTCTTGTTTTCCATCCACTACAAATCTCATATTTACCAAAGGGGAAGGTGACTTCTAGCCTATTTTTGCCTTTTTTGTATCTCATATTGGAGCAATGGGCAGAATAATCTAAACCAATTCCATAATCATCTTCACTAACTGTCTAAACCACCTGTATCTTTTAGGCTCATCCAGAAAGTCCAATTAAATCATAGATCTAACCAATCATCATTGCTGTTATAAAAATCATCTATAGGGTTGGGGATTTAGCTCAGTGGTAGAGCGCTTGCCTACATGGGATGTGCTGTCCATGTTCAGGAAGGGAGAACACCCTCACAGACCTGCCTAGAAATGTGTTTGCCAGGTGATTCTAAATTTAGTCAAGTGGACAATAAAGCTTAACCATTACGTGGAGCTCTGGTCCTGTTGATGATATCACACTCTTTCTTTACCCTGAGAGTCCATGACTACTGTTAAAATATGTTAGCCAGCTTTCTATCATTGTAACAGATATATCAGGGATAGTCGATTTAAGATGAGGAAGCTATGATGCACTAGATATTTATTCTGATGATGGAAGACATAAAAAGGAGTTCTTTCAGGGAGTTTATAGTTAGGAAGGATGGGGAGCGGAGTAAAGTAAAAAAAATTACAAGCAACTATGTCTAAAAGTTATGTGAGTTCTCTTTAGAAGTGTGTGTGTGTGTGTGTGTGTGTGTGTGTGTGTGTGTGTACATGAAAATCTAGCAGGGTGTAGTGGGACCATGTTTGGACAAAAGGGAGGCAGCTGGTTTGTATATAGAGACACGTAAAGAGGGCCAGCAAGATGACTTAGTAGGTAAAGATCCTTGATTTAATCCCAGAAATCCTCATGGAAGAAAGAGAGAACTAACTCCTGAAGGATGTCCTCTGACCTCCACTCACATGCCGTGCCATGTCCACTGACCCTACACACACACACACACACAAATGGATGACTGTAAAAAAAAAAAAATTTAGAGAGGGTGAAGAATGCTCCAGACACAGGGAACATCATGTGGAGAGACTCCCTAAAGCCAGGCATATTTGAAGATTTCAAAGTAGTTTAATTAGTAGCTTTGTGGTTTTGATCATGAAAGAGAAGTGAGGGGGAAGGAAGGACAAAAGAAGGAAACTTCAAGATATTAAAAAACCGGATCCTAAAACACCAGACCAATTGAATGTTACTGAAGTAGACTAAGGTAGAAAAGACCAATTATCACTTAGTGACTTATTGATTTATTTAGTGATTCACTTGAAACATTGTTTGTAACACCTATTGCCTAGCAGACTTCCCTTGCTACTTGGAACAGAATGACCTAGAAAAATAGCTGAAACAATAGTTCATTGCCTTTAGCAACCTGACCAAAAAAAGCTTACCCCTGTCAGCTCTAACATATGCCTTCGAAAACCAAAAGCCCCAAAGATAACTTCATATATGCTTTTGCTTGCCTGCTCATTTCGCCTTGTGGTTTTAGAATATTAGATTAAATGCAATGTGACTTGAGACCGAAGCCATTAGGGAACTATTCTGTCTTTGGTCCACCGGTGGCATCTCTTCTCTTCTGCTCTTCTTGGTGTCAGTGTCAGAAAGAGTCCCATTTCATCCCAGGAGTCAGAGGAGTCTATGGGTAGGATGTATCTGGATATTGTGTAGACTATGTAACATTAATAAATTGTGTGGATAGCACATGTAAAATCGAGTACCAAGTTTATTAGTACTTAGGGCACTTCTGCTAGGTATTCATTGACGTTGGACTGTATGTTAGGTACTGTGCTGGCTGCTGGAGATATGATTGTTGCTTGCAGTGTTTATGTAGCTGGAAGGTAGAGTACGGTTTGCTTAGACACAGAAGCTGCTCTGAGGAGCCTGTGCGGCTGATCACTACTCAGAGGAGTGTGAGTGCTGCAGTCAGGGTGGAGAGAAGCAAGGGGAGCCAGTGTCCTCAAGTTGTCTTTATTCCACAGAAACTCCATCAATACCATTCTGCATAAGCTATTTTGTTTTGTGTTTGCATAATTTGGCTTTAAGGTCCAGTCAGACTGCAAAATGGAAAGTCTTGCCAGAGGAAATTCTAAAGATGGGTGGGAGACAAAACTAAACTCTGAAAATTTTTTTTTCTTCATTCAAAGGTAACTGGAGCAGTCAAAGGAATTTAAGAAAGGAAGAAACTTGTTTGTGTTCTAATTTTAAGGCATCTGT